AACTTATAGAAGCAAAGGTAAGTTTTAGAACATCTTTTTTTTTTTTTTTCCTTAGTTGTATCATTTCACTAGAAGTTAATGAGTCGAATACTTTATATGCAGCATTTGACGAATAATTTGCAAAAAACAGAATAAGAAAATAGTCCAAACCGTAAATTTGTTTGCAGCGACTTTTCTTACTCTTATTTGCGTGCAGGTCCGAGTGTTGCCCCATCACCATTTTCGCGCCCTCTATCAAGAGGTCGGATTCGAAAAGGGCCTTTACCACTGCCTGCAATTCCACACAATCACTTAAACGGTAAATGTTCGAAAGGGACTTCTCGACTCGTCTAATTATTACATTATACAAATTATGAAAGATTTTGTATTTTTCAAACTTGCAGGATGCGAATCTCTATCATGCACCGAGCCGCTAACTTACACACCGCCCGGTCAACTGTGCGGTTGCGTTTGGCCGATCAAAGTCAAACTCCGTTTTAGTCTCTCTGTTGACAAATTTTTCCTGTTAGTCCCCGAGCTTGCTCGTGAAATTACAAACGGGGTCCCTTTGAGTCGAGATCAAGTTCGTATTGTCGGGGCAGATGTCGCAGATCAAGAGCTCGAGGAGAAAACCGATGTTCTTGTTAATTTGGTGCCGCCGATTAATGAACCGTTCAATTATGCTACCGCATATTCTATCTACGAGAAGTTTTTGAAGGCTGAGTTTCCATTCAACATGTCGGTTTTTGGTGTTTACCAAGTGTTATATGTTAACTATCCAGGTACCAATGTTTGTAAAAATGATAAAAAAAAAAGAGACCTAATTGTATTCTTCAAACAAAATAAATTTGCATTTGCAGGTCTACCTTCACTATCTCCACCTTCACGGGCCTCCTCGGGCTCTGGTACAATCGACTTTCGACCTTATCCCAGTCGAGGAAAAAATGACGAGCCGTTAAAACCGTTAGGTGTTGATGTGTCGAGAGCTAGGAAAGATAATTCAGACAGAAATATGATATTAATTATAATTATCCTCTCATCCGTCACGGCTTTTGTCGTTTGCCTGGCCTTCATTCTGCTGCTCTTGTCCAAAGAGAGTCAACACGTTGGTTCAGAATCTCCAGACGTAAAACCGGAAAGTATGACTTGTTAATTTTTTTTTTTTCTAACTTTAATTTTTCCTCTGTACTAGCAAATTTCATCCTGTTTTAAGATATTTCACTTCAATTATCGAACATGCATGAAACTGGCAGGTGGCAGTAAGCTGCCGAGCTCGACATCAATATCTTTCAGCTCTAGCCTGCTCGCATGTACGGGAACTGCTAAGATTTTCACCATTGAAGACATTAAGAGAGCTACAAATGACTTTAACAAATCAAGAATTCTAGGTGAAGGTGGTTTTGGGCTCGTTTACAGCGGCACTCTTGATGACGGGTCAAAAGTGGCGGTCAAAGTTCTGAAACGAGTCGACAATCAAGGGGGGCGCGAGTTCTTGGCAGAAGTCGAGATGCTCGGGAGGCTTCACCACAGGAATTTGGTCAAGCTGATTGGCATTTGTGCCGAGGACCAATGCAGATGCCTCGTTTATGAGCTCGTACCGAATGGGAGTGTAGAGTCTCATTTACACGGTCGGTATAGCACATTTTGGTCATAATTTACGATTTACCGGAAAAAAAATGATTCGGTTCTTTTGATGTTACAGGAGTTGACAAGGAGATTGCGCCTCTTAACTGGAGTGCACGGATGAAAATTGCGGTTGGTGCAGCTCGGGGCTTGGCTTATCTTCACGAGGACTCGAGTCCCCGCGTGATACATCGGGACTTCAAGTCGAGCAACATCTTGTTGGAACACGATTACACGCCTAAGGTGTCGGATTTCGGTTTGGCTCGATCGGCATTGGATGAAGGAAACAACAAACACATTTCGACTCACGTAATGGGAACTTTCGGGTAAGGCACTTTGTGCCTTAAACAAATACAACTTTATATACTTATTCCTTTTAAGGTTGTGTTTGGTAACCAAATAAGATATAACTTATTTGGGTAGTTTATAAGCTTCCTATATTCAAATAAAACTTTTTTAAAAGGTTCGAACTTATCTCATAAGCTTCTTTGGATGAATTTTCAAATAAGTTGTTGAAATTTTTACTTTAGCTAGCTTATCAACTAATTTTACCGAACATTTTTATGATATAAACTAACTTTTCAGCTATAAGTCATAAGCTATAAGCTATAAGCATGAAAATTACTTATAACTTATAAGCTAGCTTATCAGCTAGATGTATCAAATATGAGGTATAATTTGATTGTGCAGCTACTTGGCTCCTGAGTACGCAATGACGGGCCACCTCCTTGTTAAAAGCGACGTATACAGCTACGGCGTGGTCCTTCTCGAGCTCCTCACGGGAAGAAAGCCCGTGGACCTAACCCAACCACCGGGCCAAGAAAACCTCGTCTCGTGGGCCCGGCCCGTACTCACATCATCCCAATGGGCCCTCGACACAATTATGGACCCGTTACTAAAACCCGGAGGCGTGCCCCCAGAAAGTTTCGCCCGGGTGGCGGCCATAGCTTCCATGTGTGTCCAACCGGAGGTTTCTCACCGGCCTTTTATGGGCGAGGTTGTTCAGGCATTGAAGCTCGTTTGTGACGAGTTCGAGAGGTCGAGGAGCTTTTGTAGCCAAGAGGAGCTTTTGATGGATGTTGAGAGCATTAAGGAGAGTGGGATCTCGGGCGAGCTTGGGGAGGGTTATGGGCCGGGCCTTGGCGAAAGGGCGGCCTTTTCAGGCTTGGATTTGAGGGGCGAGCCGGGCGGGTTCGGAGGGAGGGAGTCGGAGTCTTTCAGGCGGGAGTTCAACTCGGCGCCACTGAAAATGGAGAGGACAAAAAGGAGGTTTTGGGATCGGGTGAGAGGCCTTTCGGGCGGGAGCATGAGCGAACACGAGTATTTGGCTAAATTGTAGTTTTTTTTTATTTTTTGGATAAAGTTTGTTAGCTGGTTGTCAAAAAGGACACAGCAAAACCCAGCTGCAACATTTTTAAATTGTAAAGTGATGTTGAGTTTTATATATATACAGAATTCAAAAATCTCAGTTTTGTGTGTTCTGGAGGCAAACTTTTACTGCTAAGGACTATTTTAACATTGGTCATAACTAGTAGACATAAATTCATACACATATAACTCAAAAGAACAAAAAAATAGCTAGTAAACAATAGGGGACTAACATGAATTGGAACACAAACTATATCTGATCTTTTTGTTGGTTTATGTACTTGAAATGGGAGGGGAAACGGGTGCGGTCCCACGTACGTGAAGCCTGCCCACCATAAACAAGAAAAACCCACATGAAGTTCAAGTGGGGTTCCAACCTGTTATGCCACAAATCCTCGAACTGCTTGACCGCTCCTCTCAAACCGGGTTGAGCCTCCTTGATCGTCGGTACCTGCAAAACACGTCTGAGGTGGTCTCGGCGTTGACACTCCAACGCTCAAGTAGCCAATTAGACTTATGAATTATGTCTATATTTTCTATATAAACAGTGTGGGACAACTCAAAAGTGATATTCTAAGACATTCTCCAACCGGCACCAAAAACTCAAAAAATGGAGTAATTTGCCCCCAATCGATACCCAAACGGAAAAAGACAAAATGAGTTGTTGTAACTCTCTCTCATCTTCTACACCAAATTTGCGTTTCTACTGTTCCAAAACGCAAAAACTTTTTTTAATTACAAGTTGGTCCTTTTTATTTTGTAGGGTGTTATTTATATACTATTTATTTATATTGTTTAGTTGTATGACCAACATTTGATTTTACTGTGCTTTATTTTTGTCTTCATTATATGTTTTTAAATTTTAAACTTAAGAAAATAACAATAGAAGTTATAATATTACTAAAACATTTATAGATTATACATATTTGACAACAAGTTTAATCCAATAAATGTAAAAATATTTTTGAAACATATATACAAACCCATGTTTATTTTTTTATTTGTTCATAGTAGAGTAAATATACATATTAATTTTATATTTTTCACAATAATAATGTAAAATACTAAAAAGTAATTTCATAAAAATTAGATAGTATAATATTTAAAATAATAAACATTATATTTATCATTTAATTTTATATGTCTCACAATAATAATGTAAAATATACATATTATGTGTGGTATTTTTATTTAACAAAAAGAGAAAACACTAACATAAAATAACAACAACAATACTAATATAGATTGAAATATCAATAAAACATGATAAATCACGGTTTTTAGTTTCTCATCTTGTGCGTTGTAATTTTTAATTTTATCTTATGTGTTGTAATTTTTATTTATTACCGTATGCATTGTAATTTTTAATACTATATTGTGCGTCGTAATTTTTAAAATTTAATTTTGAATCTATTTATTTCTTCGATTTTATTATGTATATGATTATAACTTTATAATTATTTTATTACATAAAGTCCAAATTGAATTGAAAATAATAGTGTGGTTTAATTTGTAAAGTTGTAAAATATGTGGGTAGTAATGAAAAATTGTAAAAGTTGATGTAAAAAAGAATATTTTTTTGGGTTGAAGAATGAGTTTTTCAGTTGGAAATGAATTACTGCAAAATGAAATAGGTACTGCAAAATGAATTTGAGTATGATGTATTCGGTTGGGGTTGGAGATGGTCTAATAGTACTCAAACTTAGCAGCTTTGACTATTTCCTCCCTCCAAACATACTTTTCGAAGCATTACATATGCAAGTTACCCCTTTTTTTTATAATAAGATTTTTCTAAATTTGATTTTGTTTTTATTACTTAATTTAAGTTTTTATTTTACGAAAACCATGATAAATAAATCCAAAGGTAATAATGATTGTATAATTTTTATTATCAATCTAAAATTAGTGTTAAAAAAACTCGTACAAATCACAATTTATCTTGTTGAGAGAAGATGACAATATGACATACGAATTAAAAAAACGAAAAAAGTAAACAACACAAGATTTACGTGGTTCGGCAATTTGCCTACGTCCACGGCGACTGAGTGATCTTTATTATTCTCAATAGTCACAAATACATCAATACACCATGTATTTATACTAGGGGTGAGCATGGTGCGGTTCGGTGCAGTTTTGCACCGAACCGCAAAAAACCGAAAACCGATCTTTTTCAGTTACCCAAACCGAACCGCACCGAAACATGTAGAAAAACCGAACCGAAACCGCACCAAAATTTTCGGTTCGGTTTCGGTTAACCGCAAATTTAAAAAAAAAGAAAAAAAAACAAAAAAACCCCAAAATAAAATGAAGCTACATCATCATCATCTAATGTGCAACATTATCAAACCAAAAGCCCAAAATTTGAAAGAAAAAAAAAAAAAACTAAGGCAAGAAATTAGATTTAATGTAATGTTATTAATTTTTAATTGTTAATGTTATTATTTATTATTTTACTTATTTATTGTTAATATTAGTCATCCTAAACCGAAGGCCTAAAATGAGCATGTATATTTACAATACAAACATGTCAACATATTTCAGATTTGTAAAAAAAAAAAAAAAAAAAAAAAAAAAAAAAAAAACTATATTCAGTGCGGTTCGGTTAAAACCGCATCATTCGGATAAAAAACCGAACCGCACCGAAACTTGTGCAGTTTTCCAAAAGTTTAACCGCACCGAAAACCGAACCTTAAAAAACCGAACCGACCGCACTGAATACATCGGTTCGGTTCGATTTTTCGGTTTCGGCTCGGTTTTGCTCACCCCTAATTTATACTATAACCCTACAAGATATTAATTTACTTAAATACCCTGCACCCCCGGCCCATACCACGGGGGCTCCGCCCCCGCACCCCCGGCCCAACTAGGGCTGTAATCGAGCCGAGCCGAGCTCGAGCTTAAGGTGTTTGAGCTCGAGCTCGAGCTCTTAACGAGCCGAGCCGAGCTCGGCTCGTTAAGTAAACGAGCAAAAAATCGAGCTCGAGCTCGGCTCGTTAAGGCCTCGAGCTCGAGCCTTAACGAGCCGATCTCGAGCTTTAACGAGCCGAACTATAAAAAATTATATAAATTTCACTTTTCGAGCCTTAACGAGCCATATCGAGCCGAGCCGAGCTCGGCTCGTTAACCAAACGAGCTTTAAATGAGCTCGAGCTCGGCTCGTTAAGGCTTCGAGCTCGAGCCGAACCGAGCCTTAACGAGCCGAGCTCGAGCCGAGCCGAGCCAGGCTCGTTTAATTTAACAGCATTAGGCCCAACTAATCGACACAGCCCAACAAGGGCTGATGTCTGCTCGCTCCACTCCGCTCACTTCGCTTGATCGTTCCGTTTCCCTCGCTACGTTCGCTCCGTTACGCTCGCAGGCATCAACCTGCCTCCTTCCTTTGTCAATATATGAGCCATATCAACATATCTGATAACTTTCTAACAATCCGTTGAACCCAAGACATCTAACCACACGCATAGACCACAAAAAACGAAAATCGCATGTGATTACTAGCGACTTTTTCGTATTTTCTCTTTAGATCACAGCTTCAGATCCAGCTAAAGCCCTTCTTATACCTGCACTCTGTTTTTCCTCTCTTCACAGTGAAACAAAAAAAANAAAAAAAAAAAAAAAAAAATCCCCGAAGAAATGGGTCGTCTGGCCTCGGGTCGGGCCGCCTCCATTGTTTCTTGCTTGCTCCTTCTGTTCTCCTCCGGGAACTCCTTCTATCTCCCCGGAGTTACGCCGCGCGATTTTCAAAGGGTAATGCTGTTTTTATTCTTCTTCTCGGTCACTAATTCACAATGCCTCAGTTCATAGTATTAGTTTCGAAGGAATCGGATCTGATGAACCACTGATGATTTGATCTAGGCACATTGGTATCTGGTTTATGGGCATTCTGAAATTTCTGGGTTTTAGTGATGGATGGAGATGTAGGGTTTTATATGTTGGGTTAGTTGGAGATTTGCGAATTGAGTTTGATCTGGTGTTCTGACGGCTGCTTGTAGTGTGAATTTGGCTTGTGAATTTTAGTTTTTTTGATTATTTGGTATCTGGTTAGTATGTTGTGATTCTCAAGCTAATATATGTTGGGGCGCATGGCAATGAAAATGTTGCATTGAAACTTAGGCGGTCTGTACCGGAAGAAATTTATGGAACTCTTACATCAGTTATCTTTACAGAATCATGAAACTAATAAACTGGGTTACCTGAGCCTGATTTACATTCTAATGGGTCTGCGTATATGTTTTATTTTCACAGTCATTGTATTGGCATTTTTTATATATTGGATATATGTTACAAATCCTTTTGTAAGATGCAGTACATTACTTAAGAGATTGATAGTTTCTATAGATTCGTGTACCACTTGGTCATTAATGAGTATAATGACTGATGTAATACTAATACTTACAAGTTCAATGTGTTTAAAGAGCTAAACTGTGAGTCTGTGACCAGTTTGTCATTTTCTCAGTTTCTTCTTTCTGCATGTGAGATGGTGAAATTCTTACTTGGCTTTGCAGAGTTTCTGTTTTTTCATGGTCATAATAATGCTCATGTCAACAGGGGGATGAACTTCAAGTCAAAGTCAACAAGCTATCTTCTACTAAGACACAACTCCCATATGACTTCTATTTCTTGAAATACTGCAAGCCAGAAAAAATCCAGAATGTTGGTGAAAACCTGGGAGAGGTTCTTCGAGGTGACCGCATAGAGAATTCAGTTTATGTTGTAAGTCTCCATGAGTAGTTCATGAATCTACTTCAACTCTTGGATTTCATTCCTTGACTTGTTATGTATCTTCTCCTAACGAGACCTTTGGATTGCGTTAACTAGTTTCACATGAGGGATGAGCAGTCTTGCAAAGTAGCTTGCAAAGTTCATCTTGATGACCAGGCTGCAAAGGATTTCAAGGAGAAGATTGATGATGAGTACAGAGTCAATATGTATGTATTGTATTAAGTTGGTCCTCACTCCTCATTTTCATTTTACGTAGCCTTTGTTTTATTTCATGGCATGTATGGATCGTGCAAAAATCACAATTGCTTTTACTGGTCCCAACACCCGAAATCTGTCTGCAGGATTCTAGATAACCTTCCAGTTGCAGTGCTCAGGCAAAGAAGAGATGGAATCGAAACAACAACTTATGAGCATGGCTTTCGTGTTGGGTTCAAAGGGAATTATGCTAGGGTTTGTGTTTTATTCCTTGTCTGTTATATGTTGTATGTACTCCTCAAGTGTTTCAATGTATGCATTTTGTTTTCCCAGAGCAATGAGGAGAAATATTTTATTCATAACCACCTAAGCTTCAGAGTTATGTATCACAAAGATCCTGAAACTGATTCTGCCCGAATAGTTGGATTTGAAGTTTCTCCAGTCAGGTTTGTCTACTACAAAATTTTGAAAAGCTTAAGTGTTCCAGGTTCAGCTCGTACACTGATCCCTTCTTTTAACTAATCTCATCTTGCATTAAACTTAATTTTTGTCTACAGCATTAAGCACGAGTACAAAGAGTGGGATGATAAGAACCCTAATGTCCCCACCTGCAACCAGAACACCAAAAACTTGGTTCAGGGGAACACTGTTCCCCAAGAAGTGGATAAAGACAAAGATATTGTATTTACTTACGATGTTACTTACAAGGTATAAACTTTTCGTAAATCAAACGTTATTCTCCTCGCCAGACCTTAATGTTGGCTCCACAACAATAACAATGCAAAAAAAAATTGTTGTAGGAAAGTGAAATTAAGTGGGCTTCCCGGTGGGATACCTATCTTCTGATGAATGATGACCAAATCCACTGGTTCTCAATAATAAACTCTTTAATGATCGTCCTCTTCCTATCTGGTATGGTTGCCATGATTATGATGAGAACATTGTATAAAGATATCGCCAACTACAACCAATTGGAAACCCAAGACGAAGCTCAGGAAGAAACTGGATGGAAGCTCGTTCATGGGGATGTCTTCCGGGCCCCGGTAAACTCTGGGCTGCTGTGTGTTTATGTGGGGACTGGTGTTCAGATCTTTGGAATGACACTTGTCACGTTGATATTCGCGTTGCTCGGTTTTCTGTCTCCTTCCAGCCGTGGTGCGCTCATGTCAGTCATGCTCCTGTTGTGGAATTTCATGGGCTTATTTGCTGGCTACTCATCGTCTCGTCTTTATAAAATGTTCAAGGGTTCTGAATGGAAAAAAATCACCTTAAAAACAGCCTTTTTGTTCCCGGGGGTTCTGTTTTCCATCTTCTTTGCGCTGAATGCTCTCATTTGGGGAGAAAAATCGTCCGGGGCTGTGCCCTTCGGTACAATGTTTACCCTGGTGTGTTTATGGTTTGGGATATCTGTGCCGTTGGTATTTTTTGGTAGCTATGTCGGTTTCCAAAAACCCGCCATTGAGGATCCCGTCAAAACCAATAAAATTCCGAGGCAGATACCCGAGCAGGCCTGGTACATGAAGCCGATACTCTCTATACTAATTGGGGGCATTCTTCCATTTGGGGCCGTTTTCATTGAATTATTCTTTATCCTGACTTCCATTTGGCTGAATCAGTTCTACTACATCTTTGGTTTCCTGTTTATAGTCTTCGTGATCTTGATAATCACTTGTGCAGAGATCACGATCGTTTTATGCTATTTCCAGTTGTGCAGTGAGGACTACAACTGGTGGTGGAGGGCTTATTTCACCTCCGGCTTGTCTGCTTTTTACCTTTTCCTGTACTCGGCCTTTTACTTCTTTACCAAGCTGGAGATTACTAAGCCGGTCTCAGGTATTCTGTACTTTGGGTACATGTTTATTGCTTCGTATGCTTTCTTCGTATTGACGGGGACAATCGGGTTCTTTGCATGCTTCTGGTTCGTTCGGAAGATATATTCATCAGTGAAGATCGATTGAAAATGAATAAAACAGTTACTGCATTAGGGGATTTTGGAGAAATTTGTAGGTTTATCTTTGGGATTGTGTTGATTCGTTGAGAAGTAACAGCTATGTAAATTTTTCACTGCCTGCTAAAAACATCATTTTTCTGTTCCCCTAGCTTGTATTTTTAGATGTTCTTACATGCCTGGATTTACAATTTTTTTCATGATAATTACTGCCATCTTCTTAAAGAATCTAAACATTCACTTAGGCTACTGTTTTTTTTTTTTTTTTTTTTTTTTTTTTTTTTTTTTTTTTTTTTTTTTACTGTTGGGTTTTTAATTTTTATCCTCAATTATAAATATTTGTGTTGAGTATATGCTATGACAAATGGGCAAACAAAAAACTTGCATTATATCTGAAACATTTTAAACATAGAAGAACACAAGGAACACTAAACTATCAAGGATCAAAATGAAAACACTCTTTGAAATCACTCCAAAGAGGTACATCATGCTTATAAGCAGAAAAAATTCTTCACCGGTGCAAGATTTTTCGAGCTTCCGATTTACATATATATATGTTATTATTAGTAGAATATCAGTCAAAATCAGCTAAAAATGTTCTCTCTCAACCAGAGCATGGCTTGAGCTTCCCATTTCTTTGCCTGCACAAATGAAAGCATTTTTCAGTAATCAATCAATCAGCATTCGATGAAAGATTGAAAAAGAATTTTTGACGTCTGAAATTTAAGGATACCAACCAAAACGCGTCCTTCTTTTCTCGGGCAAGTAATTCTTCGAACGATATATCACAAAATTCATCATCTGTAGTCTCCACAAGGCTGCTCGATTTTGCCTTTGTCTCCATACACGCACTGATTTCCATCATCTTCAAGATGAATCAACAATAATTATCCATCGATATTCCAATGATCAAGATAAAGATGCGATTAAGGTTTAACACAACCATTTTATCGCAAAAGATATTCGGTTATCTTATAAAATTATAAACTGTTTACAGCTTACAGGTGCTTTTTAAGTTAAACAGTGGCATGATATTTTTAATTTTGAAAGATGACGAGTTTTATCGTATTTTCATTTTCTTTCATATAAGATTAGATCTCAGGAACATACCTTTTTGTATGCTGGAGAGGCCTTAAGCTGTTCTTGAAGCCAGTTATACACGAAAGCATCCTCTTCTAACCTCTTTTGCTCTAATTCTAGCTTGTATATCTATAACAAATTTTATATCACAAATTTTAGACATAACTATACAAATAGAAACATATTCAAAATCAAGAGCTCTTTCTCGAGCACCTGTTGACGAAGCCGGTCAAACGATGACCTTTCTGCCTTAAATAGTAGGGCCTTTGTAATTGTGAATCTCCTTTTGATGACCTCAGACCTGTCTTACCAGATTATCAACACTTGGGAACATGAACCGACATTATTGTTTAAAAACATTAATTTAAAAAATAAAAACTGTTTAACGATACAATGAAATCAAACACATGAACATAAAACATTTATGTAACTGTGAGAGCAAATTCCCACATTTGAGATTAAAATTTGATTTACATACTACAACGAGAAAAATGCTATAAGCTTACTTATTCTGGAGCTCCTTTCTTGCCTCAACAAGGCAATTGACAAACTGTCCAACCTGCAAAAATATGTTGGAAAAAATGTAGTTCTTTATTAATTTAATTTTCCAGTACACAGATAAATGAAACCCGAAATCCGATAAATTAAATGAACAGAAACCTCAACGTGCTATAACAATGCAAAACAATTTTGATAAAGATCAAGAAAATTTCTCCAATTCACGCTGCAATTCGGCAATAAAACTACCTACAGAATCCCAATCCAAGGGAGAAAACATTTGAATATTCATATATACACACATTCAAAAGAGCTCGTATAGAGTGTCCCAAAAACAATACCATGTAAAGGTGAACTAAATATGCACCTACATAGGCACCAAAAGAGCAATTATGTGCTCGTAAATACTTCTCCCTGGTTGAGATTTTCAAAGTTATGTAGTGAAACTCCGAATAATTACATCTCTCTCAAGGTTGTATGGGCACTAAAAAACGATGAACAAGAAAACCAGTGGCATAAAAAGCTTTCATACACCTCCTCAGGTGAGTGTATAAATGCAGAAAACGGTATATAGCAAAATTCCGAACTCTCATGTGGCATACATATGTACAAAATTCTGTTGATGCTGTTAATATAAAATGAAGAATACATAATATTGCACCCTGCATGAATAATATTGTACTCAACATGTTTTTCCCCTAAATTTTCACCTTTTCTGTTTCATTCCTTAAAACCATCACTTTTAAGGTATGGAAACTAGGCAGTAATGCTCCCCTACCCACGGTGGGCACATATTAATATGTCCACCGCTTATGTGGCATGCACATACATCACCAATTAACATGTGCCCACCGTGGGTAGGAGAGCATTTTTCGGAAACTAGCGGTGACATATTAACATGTGCCCACCCTGGGTAGGGGAGCATTTCTCGGAAACTAGCAGTCTTTTGTACTTTAGAACAAATGTCAGCCAGAAAATCAATTCAAATGAGGCAAAAACGATATTGCAATATGAGAACATCAATGCAGAAAATCCATAACATGAAACCAGCAATTTTTACTAGCAAAGGGTCATCAATATTCTCCCAAAACAGTTAAGCAAGGCAGTTACCTAATATCATTTAATAACAAAAGTAGACAATCATAAATGTTCACACTATTCATTTAAAAAAAAAAAAA